GCCTTGGCCCAAAGCCGAGCAGAGGGAGGCCAAGGAACACAGCAGGGCCTCTCCGCTGCCTCAGCCATTCCATGCTGGGACACACTCACACCCCACGAGCTCTTCAGGAGGACACAGCCCCACAGAAGGGACAAGCAGCCCCCAGAGCCGACCTCCCTCCTGCACTGGGGATCAGCCAGGAGGGCAGGGGCATCTAGCAACGCCTGGCTGTGGCTAGAAAGTCTCTGGACCTGGAGTGAGTGTGAACCCCCGCCCCAGCCCTGCCCCCAGCCATGCCCTTGCCTGGCCAGAGGGAGTGGGGACCTCCCTCCAGTTTGTGTCAAACGCTGGAGCTTTGTGTCGAGTGGCCTCCTCACAACGCTCGAGGGGTGTGTTTCATCTGCCCCAAAACTCCTCTTCTCTGGCCTTCACCTTCCTCCCCAAAAAGGCAGAGGGAGAGTTACCCAGAGGTGCCCAGGCACGCACACTGCGACGCACGGCACAGGGCAGCGCTCAGACACCCACGGGTTTTGCCGGCCCGGCCTTCACCGAGGACGAGTCTTCTGGAGAACAAGGCACCGCGCTCACACTTAGTTCTTCTCACTTGTTCCCTTCCAGGTGACGCTGACCAAGCCCGAGGCACCGGCTCCCACTTTCGGCCTCCGACACTCCGTCTACACGACTCCTCTAATACTGGGTATGTGACCCGCTCCGCCCACGCCGCACCCTGTCCCGCCGCTTCGTCTTTAAAACATGAAGAATTTGGTTCTGCTTCCCCAAGACCTGCGATTCCCACGTCTTCAGACAATTCACCCATTTTACTAATTCTTCCCATTCTGCGGCCATTCCTCACCCTGCTGCAAGCGCGTCGGATATCGTTTCCGCTGCGTTAACTGCGGGGTCTGTTTAGTGTTAGTTGTTAATTCAGAAAAATAAATTTATTCTGTATATAACGTGTCCGTGTCGCTGAACCCCCCGCTCCGTCTCTCCCCTCACACCCACCTCCAGCGCTTCCTTGCCCAGGGCAGCATTCCACTTTCTCACCAGAGTTTTTCCCCACGTTTTGAGCGCAGCAGGAAGAACAAGCGCTTCCCCAGCGGCACCTGGCAACTTCTCTCTCGCTGTTAAACAAGAAGCCTCAGAAGAGGCTTCCAAACACCCACTGCTGGTTTGTGAAGCACCAAGCACCTCACGATTGCAAACGCTGCCGAAAAGCAATCGCAGGGGTTTGGTGTTGTGTTTTCACGCCTGGTTTTTCAATGTCTTGGGAACTGTGACGGCTTCACGCTCTCATCAGCTGCTGTCACAAGGCGCAATAAACACTCAACGTTCACAACCAAGCTTTTTTGGCCAACTCCTCATCAGATCCAATTAGATCATCATTATTGTTGGTACCTCGTCACGTAGCTGACAAAGAGCTTGTTGCGGAAGCCTGAGCTCTGTCCCCCCAGGGACGCAGGCAGTGTCTCTGTGGTGTCCCATCCCCACCCCAGGCACAGGCAGGGCACACAAAGCACAGCTCACACCTACTTTATTTATTGTCCCCGACTGTGACAAAGGGGCTGTGTGCAGGGCAGCCCCATGCACGAGGGGATGTGACCAAGGTGGGGGGATGACATGCTGTGTCACTGGGGCCACAGGGACAACATGGCACATCAGCACACACTAAGGGTGACACAGGGGTGGGGGGACAATGCGGGGT